AAGAAGAAAATTTAAAATTAAGAAATTTCTTAACTTTTAAACTTTTTACTTCACCAGTACTTTTTTTTTTTAGACAGACTCAAGCTGTCACCCTGGGTAGAGGGCTGTAGTATCATAGCTCACAGCAACCTCCAATTCTTGGGCTCAAGTGATCCTCTTACCTCAGTTTTTCTATTTTTAGTAGCGATGGGGTCTCACTTTTGCTCAGGTTGTTGGTCTCGAACTCGTGAGCTCAAGCAATCTACCTGCCTTGTCCTCCCAGAGTGCTTGGATTACAGCCTTGTGCCTGGCCAGCAGTACTTTTTGTGGTAACATATACGTTACATAAAATTTACCACTATAATAATTTTTTTGTAATTTATTATTTTTTTATTTATTGGTTCTGGTTCATTGAGGGTACAAAGAATTAGGTTACACTGTTTGCATTTGTTAGGTAAAGTCCCTCTTATAATTATGTCCTGCCCCCATTGTAACAATTTTCAAGTACAATTTTCTGGCATTAAGTACATACACATTGCTGTACAACCATCACCACTCTCTATCTCTGGGACTTTTCATGTTCCAATGCCTGAAACTCTGCCCTTTACACTCCACATTCTTTTCTTTCCCTGGTCTCTCCATTACCATCTACTCTCTTGTGGTCCCAAGTAATCAGGCCATCCTATGCCTTCAGCCCAGCCCCTATGGAGATGTTGAACCTGAAGCTCCGTCCACCATCCTTCAGTGATGATATTGATCTCAACACTACCTTTGATGTGGATACACCCCCAGCCCGGTCCTCCATCTCCCAGCAGTGCCACTCCAACAAGCTCTGCCTAGAGAAGTCACGGTGAGTGGTAGTCCATAGCACTGTCTATGGAAGAAGGAAGTAGGAAGAAGGCTAAGACAGCTCTGTAGGCCCTGCACTAAAAGTTCTGAGTGGCTGATGGGGCAGTGTGTGCTGCCTAGGCTTGACTGTGGCTTTGATTCCAGCCACTTCTTCCCTCCCCATAGCACTTAATCTGTGCAAAGCCCTTCTTTGGTATCATTAACTTACCATTATCCTTCAAGGCAAAGGTGTTACAATGTGAGTTAGAAAGAATGTAGGGGTCTCAGTAAGGGTGGGTCTGGACTGATGGTATTGAGGAGGCTGGTCTCAATACCTTGAATGCTTGCCTATTAGAGTCCTACACCAGGGACTCTGAACTTCTTCCATTGTGTGCCTCTAAGGCCCATGCTTATGGTAGGACCATCTCCCCATGGAGCCCAGGGGTTTACCATTCAAGGGGGCAGCCCACGGAGGTAGGCATGAGGAGCTATCTGGAGCTACAAGGCAGATGGGACTAGCACTAGGGGTGGAGTAGGACTGGGAAAAGGAGACTGTCTCCTTGGCTAGGCCTACAAACTGTGACTCACTGGGAGACAAGGACTATGCTCATTTATACATGTACATATATGCTACTCAAGTAAGGGAGGTTGGGGGCTGCACAGGTTTCCTTTTTTTTGAGACAGAGTTTTGCTATGTCTCCCTCAGTAGAGTGCCTCAGTGTCACAGCTCACAGCAACCTCAAAATCTTGGGCTTAAGCAATTCTCTTGCCTCAGCCTCCCAAGGAGTGGGGACTATAGGTGCCCACCATAATGCCTGGCTATTTTTTGGTTTTAGTTGTCATTGTTGTTTAGCAGGCCTGGCCCAGGCTTGAACCTGCCACCTTTGGTGTATATGGCTGGCACTCTACTTACTGAGCTACAGGCACCTAGCCCAGGTTTCCTTCTAATTAAAGACTATGGATATGAGAGAAATAAAATTGAGATATTAGGCAGTTGGAGGTAGAATAGGGCACGAGAACAAGCCAGATGGGCTAACCACCCCTCCCAAACTTGAGGGGCATAAGCATCTATGCTATACATACATACAGGGCCAGGCCCAATAACAATGAGAAACAAACCTAGGGCATGTGGGCTATAGTCAGGGAGCCTATCAGTGCCTGTTCCAGACTCTGGTTTCTTCCTCTTGCCTCTTCTTCATTTGTAAAGGTTGAAGGTAGGCCCCTGGGATCTTCAGGATGCTAGGCCTTTCAGAGACATTTCCACTACCTTGAGGGCCTGCTGGGGACTGAGGGAGCCCAAGATGCCCCTAACCCTCCCCAGAGCCAGATCCAGAGCAAATGGACAGTCTTATAGTGGCCATCATGTGACCTGTCCATAGGCTGTGGGTATAGGTACAGAGAGGAGTCTAGAGTAAGCTGGCCCTGGTCCCACTTTTGTCTTCATGGCTTAAGGAGCCACAGAGTCAACCCTAGATCATAATCCTCCTGCCCACTTGGGAAAATATCAGAAGAGGATATCCAGCTGCTAGGGTCTCCAGGAAATGGATGCAAACACAATGTCCAGGTCTGGGGCTGGGAGTAGAAGCCCAGGATCTGGGGCCATGCTATACTCTGCTCTAGACCACTCTATCTGTACAGATTCTCTAGGAAGATGGCTTGGCCCTGTGGTTTTGGTTTTTTTATTTTTTTTTTTTGTTTTGAGACAGAGTTTTACTCTGTTGCCCTAGGTAGAGTGCCCTGGAGTCATAGCTCATAGCAATCTCAAACTCTTGGGCTTGAGTAATTCTCTTGCCTCAGCCTCGCGAGTAGCTGAGACTATAGGTGTGTACTACCATGCCAGGCTAGTTTTTCTACTTTTATTTATTTGTTTATTTATTTATTTATTTTTGAGACAGAGTCTCACTTTGTTGCACTCAGTAGAGTGCTGTGGCGTCACAGCTCACAGCAACCTCAAACTCTTGGGCTCAAGTGATTCTCTTGCCTCAGCCTCCCAAGTAGTTGGGACTGCAGGCACCTGTCACAGCACCTGGCTATTTTTAGCCAGGTCTCACTCTGACTCAGGCTGGACTTAAAGTAGTGAGCTCAGGTAGTCCACCTGCCTCAGCCTCCCAGAGTGCTAGGATTACAGGTGTGAGCCACAGCGTCCAAGCTAGTTTTTTTATTTTTAGTGGAGATGGGGTCTTGCTCTTGCTTAGTCTGGTCTTGAACTCCTGAGCTCAAGCAATCCACCCATCTCGGCTTCCCAGAGTGCTAGGATTATAGGCTTGAACCACCACGCCCAACCTGGCCCTGTGTTCTGTATACTACCTTATTGAGAGGCTAACTTACCAAGCATCTCTTGGAGGTAGTGCCCCCTCTCTGCACAGACAGGACTAAGCCTGAGCTCATTAGATGCCTCCTGCTTGCATTAGGGCATGACTGTTTTTCTTCCCGTGGGTGGTGAATTATTTGGGCTCCCTAGCCTCATGTGGAGCCTGGGACATGATAAAGTGCCCAAGGACTTGGATATTATTAGAATTTGGCTCTGAACAGAAGCCATAAGATTTGGATGTGTGGCTCGGCGCCTGTGGCTCAAGTGGCTAGGGTGCCAGCCACATACACCTAAGGTGGCAGGTTCGAATCCAGCCTGGGCCCACCAAACAATAATGATGGCTGCAATCAAAAAAAAGAAAAAAAGATTTGGATGTGGTCCAATAACTGTCTTCACCACCCTACTGGTAGTGGTTATCCAGCTGTTTGCAGAACTGCACTTAGGATGGGGATGACCAAGGTGCCTACCTAGAACACAAACCATGTCAGCAGCCATGCCTTGTGGACACCCCCAGGGGCATGTGCTGGACCTGGCTCAACTTGCCCCTCATATCTTGCTTACCTACTCCTTGCCTTTATGTCTCATTCTTTTAGCTCTTCTATTCAGGACGTCCCTAAGAAGGTACCCAAAGATTCCAAACAGGTAAGGGCAAGGGCTTCCCAGAAGAAGCCTAGGAAATCGCCATCTAACCCTTGCCAAGACTGGGGTTGATGGTGGACTTCTGGGAGGTCAGAATCTTGCCAGAGCCCCCTCTCTCTTGGCCCAGAACTGAGATACCTCAGGGCCACCCTTGGGATTTTTTTTTTTTTTTT